TGCAGGGTCTGAGTGCCCGCTGCGGACAGGAAACGCCTGCCTGCAGGCAGCGCCTCTGAGCAGCAGTCTCAGCTCCTGCCTAGAATCATTGATTCAGTGTTGTCTGTCTCGTGGGAAAGAGACAGTGAGGATAACTTTGGAAGAGAAGGAGCTGGCCGCCGGCGTTCCTAGGTAGCCACTTTGTGCCAGAGGTTTCCAGACACTGGATGGATTTGCCCACACTCGGACCTGTGGGAGGGCATGGCCTGCCCAGGTCCACAGCGAGGGGCACAGCACGTCCACAGCACAGAGCGCCAGGGAGCAGCTGGTGCTCCCCCACCCCCCTGCCTCTCCTGGGAGGAGGAGGAGACAGCCCTCCTCACACTCAGTTCACAGGTTTGGGTGGAGTTGGGCCCCATGACTCAGAGCTGACCTATCAGAATTCCAAACCTCCCACCACCTCCTGACCAGGGACCTGGCCATCCGGGCTATCAGGGTCAGTTAGAAACTGGAGCTTTTGCTGGGACTCCAAGGAGAGCTCTTTATTCTTTTTTAAAAAAATAAAATTTTAAAAAAATCTTCACTGGAGGAGTGAATATATTTTTTCTATTGATTTTCAGAGAGTGGAAAGGAGTGTGGGGAGGAGCAGAGAGAGAAACATCGATGTGAGAGAGATGCATCCATTGATTGCCTCCCACAGGCTTCCCAACTGGGGGCAGGGATCAAACCTGCCACCCAGGTACATGCCCTTGACCAGGAAGCGAACACAAGACCCTCTGGTGCAAGGCTGACACTCTAACCACTGAACATGCTGGCCAGAGCAAAAGAGAAGCTCTTTAGTGTAGGCTGCTAGCATCAGACTTTAAGATACAGGATACGAGCTGGCCTTTCATAATTCTAAGGGGGGCAGCTTCCTGGGAATGAATTTATTTAAAGGAAAGTAGAACTGAGAGGAAAGAACGAGAGAAAAAGAAATCATCTGAAAATGTAGATCAAACCACGTATCTGCGGATCCACGAAACCTGAAGATGGACTGCCCTCAGATTTTCACTTGGGTGAACCCACAAATCGTCTCTCATGCCTAGAGGGTGGCAGCTCACTTTCTGATACAGCTAATGAGTTCCTCTGAGCAGGGCACAGCTGTGGGGGGGACTTCGAGGGCACCTTCCTTCCCTTGCTTGGTCTCCCCACTTGCCCGCACTCCCAAGGATGCACACCCAGCCCCAGCAGCCCTCTCAGCGCACTGCCTGGAATAAGCCATCTAGTGGGATGGTGGGGAGTGGGGTGGGCAAGGCCCTGCACACTCCAATATCTCTACATGCAGAATCGCAGGTTTGTTTTTATTTGGATTTCATTGGCTCCATTTAGGGATGTGCTGGTAAATGTTTAACAAGCAAACAAATAAAAAGCCCGATTTCGTGGTGTTTGCTAGCTTCTGTGATGTGATGTTTCCACCCTGGCCTGTTTCAGGCTACCGCCGTGACATCAGTGAGTGCGGAGAGGGGACGCGGTGAGAGTGGCACACCCGCGGTGACATTTCCCCCACCAGGCGTTCTCGTCGTAACTGTCCTCCAGAGCACAGATGATGATAACATGTAGTACATAATTCGGGACTTATGAGTTTTGAATTTTTATTACCTTTGTGTTTCATATAATTTATCTCATTGTAAGTTTATGTGATTTAGCTCTTAATAATGTCTGGTGATAAAAACTGACTCACAAAATTCCTTAAGAATGCTTTGGCTCCTCTGGGCTGGGTGGAGCTGGTTCCAGGGCACATGGTGCCGCTCAGCTCCCAGAGGAAACGGCTGCTTGTTCGTGGGCTCCAGAACTGTTTCAACAAAGTAGGGGGCCTGGGAGCAGCCCTAAAAGCTTGATTTTGGTGAGGGACTGTGCCAGTCTGAAACGCGCAGTGAGACTGCATGTGTCGTTAACTTGACTGCGATTCATGACCTGGAGATGTCCCCGGGCTGCAGGGCGGGAATGCGCCTCCGTTGCATGGTCAGCTGGTCCTGCTCCACGGAATGAGGCATGGAGAGTGAACTAGCTGTGCCGGGCAGGGGTCCTGCAGAAGTCAGGCTCCAGCAGGAAATAGATGGCACACCCAGATCAGCATCATGCGAGGGGTGTGGGAGGAAGAGACCTCACAAAGGTGGGGGCAGGTGGAGGGGAGCCACAGGGACACAGCAGCACTCCAGGCCCAATAGCTTGGGGCTCACTCTGTTACCTTCCCTAGGCCTGAGGTGCAAGCAGGGGTGAGGGGACCAGTTATTGAGATGGAGAGAGAGGGCTGGGGGAGTGGGACACTTGGCAGGAAATGGGACCTTTGACTGCAGGAGGGACTCGGGAAATAACACCCTTGACCTCCCTCTCCTTCCTTCTGCTTCTTCTATCCCAGTTCCCCATTGGCTGGACTCACCCAAAAAGCCAGAGGGCAAGGAAGCCTGTTGTGCCAATCCTGGGCCACTGAAAAGGTAGATGAAGTCTGCAGGGTCCAATGGCACAGGTAGCTTGGGTACCTCGCTGGGGAGCAGACACCCTGATCCTTTGTCTTGGGCCTCCTGGAACTGTGATGGACCGCCTTCCCCCCAGGAACATTCAGGCCTGGTCACCTGCCCTGCTGGGGGCAGGGGCGTCTATAGAGGTGCACAGCCTTCTCGTCCCACCTGCTAGAAGTTCCCAGGGCAGGAAAAGGAGGGCTGGGGAGCAGACCCTGGGCACGGTTTCACCCTCCACTGCCAGGGCCGTCACCAGGGCATGCTCTCTCTGCCCGGCCAGCCCTAGCCTCCATCTGAGATTCTGCGGAGTCCTCTTCTATGGAAACTCGGTTGGGGAGCCTGGGAGCTTGGGAGACCTGGGTGTCTCCTTCCAACTATATCCTGAGGGGTTACCTGACCTTATCACTAATCTGAATGTTCTCATCTGCCAGACCAGGGGTCTTGGCCAGGTGACCATGATTTCCAGGAAGACCTCTGTCTAATGTCAAGGCTTTAGGAGCGTCCTCTCGGGGTCCTTTGTATAATGAAGCCTGTCTTTCCATAGCCGGGAGGGGGCAGCAAAGCTCTGTTCTGAAGGGGCCCATAGGCCAGGGTAGGCACTGCTCTCCAAGGCCCAGGGCTGAGAGTCCAGGTTTGGTGGCTAGGCCTCACTGCTGAATAATAATGATAATAATAATAGTAACAACAACAACATCATCATCATTATTATTATCTCTGTTGTTAGTAAGACAGCCACAATGCCCTCTCCGATTTGGGTAGTGCTATGTAGTGGAGGAAACCTGCCCAGTATCCCGTAGGGATCTTTCAACACCACCGTCGCGCAGGTAGGAAGTGCTGGGCTTTCAGCCCATGCTGAGGCTGAGAGACATCCTCTGACTTACCCAGGTCTCCTGGGAAGTAGGATGTGCCAAGACAGAAGCCCAAGCTTTCCTCCTGTGCACTGTCTCACCATGTGCAAGTCCCCGCTCCTTCCCTCTTCGGCAGACCTGGAGTGCTGCTGTGTCCCTGTGCCTCCGCTCCACCTGTCCCCATCTTTGTAAAGTCTCTCCCTCAAACACCCCAGGGGTACCCAGCCCAAGACCCAGGGCCTGAATTTGGTTTCCGGGTGCCATGGGGGTGTTGGGGAAGAACACAGCACAGGAGCCCCATGTTCATCCCCTCCTCTTTCTTCCAGTTCTCAGAGAAGTTTTAAAATCTTTGTTTTATCATTGCCAGGGCTTACTTGGTGCCTAGGTAGGAAAGTTTCCCATTCATTCATTCATTCATTCATTCATCTTTCCATTCAATAATTGGGATTCTTCTAGAGCAGTGGTACTCAACCTTCCTAATGCTGCAACTCTTTCATACAGTTCCTCATGTTGTGGTGACCCCCAATTTCATTGTTACAAATTGAACATAATTAAAGCATAGTGATTAATCACAAAAACAATATGTAATTATTTACGTGTTTTCCGATGATCTTAGGCGACCCCTGTGAAAGGGTCGTTCGACCCCCAAAGGGGTTGCGACCCACAGGTTGAGAACCGCTGCTCTGTCGTATAAGACACTGTTATGTACTATGAAGGATGTAGAAATGTCCTTTCTCTTGTAACTCAGAGGTCTGGAGGCTGGGGGCTGGGGTGTGACGGCCAAGTAAGTGCAGAGACACTTGGGGGTGGCTTCCTCCTGGGGAGCCCCGGGTGAACGGGGGAGTGCTTGAGCAGATGGAAGTTAGACCTGCTTTTGTTGGGTGCCAGGGAGGAGGGACACCATAGGAATTTTGGTTGATGACCTCCAACTGCATGGAGTATTAACTCCTCAAACCAGAGGAAGCTCCTGAGAGACACAGCCCAAGCCCCAGACTGTTGTCCACCTGGACCCTGTCTTACACTCCACTGTGTCCCCAGGCATGACTCCCCCTCCCCATCATGATAACAGGTTACCAGTGCTAACTGTAGGCCAGGCTCTAGACTAAGGCCACTTGTTGAATATTCTTATTCACCTCTCAGAACAACCCTGTGGAGTCCATTGTTATACCCATTTTACACGTGAGGAAGCTGACCCTTAAGTCATGAAGGAATTGGCCCCAAATCACAAAGTGAGTGAGCGGTGGGCCAGGACTGGGACCCAGGGGCTGGCACCCAGGGCTCTTACCACCACAGCATCATCACACACGGGAAAACCCTCCCTCCAGAGACCCTGCCTGTGTGTGAGTCTGAAGAGCTGCCCTCTCTTTTCCTGCTCAACACTGGGCACCCTACCCGGTCTGCAACGCCTCTAGAAAATGAGGGTGTTGATACCGCCACACTGTCTGATGGGCTTGTTGGGAGACTGGAACAGAAAAAATGGGCATGTGAACACTTAGCATCACACAAAATCGATCCGTGTATCTGATATGGTATCATTGCTCTTACTGGGAGGGCGATGTGGTGAGGTGACAGGAGGGCTGACCTAGGGACTGGTACCCAGACATTGAGAATGGCCTATTTCCTTGCCTGTAAAATTGAGGAGAATAAAGAGATCATTGTTAAAAGACTTTCATTCCTAATATTCAGCCATGACGATGATGATGGTGGTGACCATGGTGGTGACAGTGGTGGCGGTGGTAAGGATAGAAATGATGATAGTGATAGCAGTGACAGTGATGATGATGATGGTGATGATGATTATAACAATAGTGAGGATGCTGATGATAGTGATAATGGTGATGTCAGACATCTGAGGTCACCTGACCTCAGAATCATTTCCTGTTACCACCCTGCTGCCAGCCCTCAGCTCCCAGCCCTGCTGTGTCAAAGTCAGGCAAGGGTGGGCTGGTGATGAGATGGAAAGGAGGTTCTAGAAGGATTAGCCTAAGACATTGAAGGATGCTAATCTCATTACCTGGGACATAGTAACCCAGTACTTACTATCAGTTAATGGCTTTAGTGAGACACAATTCACAGTTATACAACCATCAAGCAATCCATTGTGAAAAATTTTTGTTGCCTCTAAAAGAAGCCCTGCCCCCTGCTGCCCACCCAGTGTCCCAGTGCAGCTGCGATTTCTATGACCTCTGCCTTACAGCATCAGCACATTGGGGCTCAAGGAAGAGACTAACTTGCCCAAGGCCACACAGCTGGTATGTGACAGCATCAGCATTCCATCCAGGTTTGCTGGAACCCACAGCCCGTGCTCTGACCACACTGGGAGGCACGTCAGGCTCAGAGAACACGTGTAACCAACGCCAGGCCACACAGCTACAGGCATGAAGTGGTCAGGCTGGGGCTCAAATGTAGTGTTGGCTCCTAATCCCACTCCTTCAGGGTAAGCAAAGCAGCATAATCAGAATCCGTGGGACCCCTGGGCCTGGGAGCGAGCCCTAAAACTAGCAGTAGCTCCTTTATAGGTGACTGGTCCCAGCCTTAGGCCTGAGTCTGAAAGTCAGTGGCTCCTGGGGCCCACCTGCTCCGTTCACCGGGGGCCCTGAGCACCGTGAGGGGAATCCAGCCAGGTCGAGAGGAGTGACCCCAGCCAGAGGAAGGAGCAAAGCTTGCAAGACAGGTCCCTGTCCAGTGGAGCATTTGAGAGCACCTACTACCTCTCTGCTGCCTGGGAGCTGTGGGTGGGTCGGAGAGGAGGGTAAGGTGATCCCAGGAGGGATGGGACGGGAAGCAGACTTGCTTTGAGGAAAGCAAGCCCTGGGGAGAGTCTCTGATCTTTGGGTCTACGCTCCACCCTGCCCTGAACAACTACAGTCAGAGGACTACGTCCATCCCGGCCCAGTTTCCCCGTCTGTAAATTTAGGGAGAAATGGGGAACTGAATTGGAAAGAATCATGAGTCCCAGGAAGAACATGTGCTATAGTTACCGGAAAGGGTCTTTATTTTGAGATGCTATGGAGGCCAGTGATTTATCTGGCAATGGGCTGGACTTCCCCTTTCTGCTTGGGGCAAGGAGCCTCCCCTTTCACATTCCTTACTGTCTTTATATGAAGGAGAGATCAGGCGAGGATCTAAAAGGCAGCCCACGGGAGAGCCATGGGCCGCGGTAATAAACACAGAGGAGCCGAGTGTCTGAGTGGTTGGGAGAATTTATTTCTCACAATATCTTCCCTCCACTCGCCTGGAGGTGCCCATGGCAACAGGCATCAGGAGGGCCTCATTCTTCCATCTTCTGTGGGAGAAAAGAATCGTACACAGGATATGAGTCAAACTGAAGGCGAGGCTGAGTGTCGTCTGCAAGTGGGGCGGCTGCAAGGGCTGGAACCTTAGACAAATATTACGGATGCGTGACCAAAGCAAGGCCCGCAAACCCCGGGGAAGGAGCCCGCCCCCTGGAAAGCAGGGCCTCTGGCCACAGGGAGGGATGGGAGGGATAAGATGTGTGGCCCCTGGTCCCTTGCTTTTCTCCTGGAGCCTAGAACCATGGGTTCTGGCTAAAGTAGCGGCATCTGTGAGCCAACGACCAGCACAGGGAAGAGGCACCCACAGATACCCTCTGAACCCTCCCTGGAGCATAGCACGTCTAGGGAAGAAGTCTGCTCTCACCTGGCCCCCAACATCGCGGCTCTTGGCCCTCAGTTTGTTGACCTGGGACTCAGCGATGTCTGCCCGCTCCTCGGCCTCCTCCAGCTCATGCTGGGCCCTCCGGCATCTGGATAGCTGCGTGTTGGCCTGCTCCTCCTGAGCGGAGACAGAGGGGTGGGCGCCGAGGCAGCCCCTTACTCTGGCTCTGAGGACCCCAGTCCCTGCAGGCCTCTGGGGAACTGGGGAACCAGGACAGCTTGGGTCCCAGCTTCACTGATGCCAGGGGAGAGAAAGCTGAGCAATCCAGGGGTGAGGATGCACCCTGTACCCCGGTGTCCCTGCACCCCTTTTCTATACCGTCTCTCCCACTGCAGCTTTTTGAAAGAGACCCAAGTCCAGAGTCCTCCCCTGGCACCTGGAGGTGTCAGAGACCAATGGCCCAGGTCCCCATTGCCCTGTTCCTGCTCCCAGCATCATCTGCCTATGGCCAGGCCCTTGACTGGGTCTATTTCAGCATTAACCAAGGGTTCCTGACAAAGGTGGCCTTCTGGGCCCCTCCAGACTGGCCAGTCCTGCTGCCACTCTTCTAATGCGAGGAGCACGCGTCTCCCTGCTATGTAACCAACACGGATCTGTCCCTTTCAGGTCAAGACAGAACCAACCAGCCCCCTGGGCAGGGAAGAGAAAGGACAAGGAGAGAAGCCACATGCTCAGGCGTTTATCTAGGGCAGGGTCCCCCCGGTTTTGTTCCTCAGAACACGGGTCCTGTGGGAAGCTTTGCATATAAGAACAAGGTGCCCAGGCACATGAAGGGTGGGAAATGCTACATTCTAGAATGCCTCTCCCACTTTGCAGAGTCAATTACAAATGACCTACAAAATCTGAGAAATCCTTGAAGTAAAGCAACCAGTTCAACGTTTTTAAACCCAGCATTTCCAATCAATTTCTTTTCTATAAGAGAAAATACCCCCTCTTCCAGCCCCAGCTTCCTGCTGTTGACACCCCTCAGACCCAATGTCCCCAGGAGATACTTTGGGAAATGCCGGTTTCAGCCATTTCATTTCTTCCCTGTTTGATCGAGGGCAGATCAAAAAGGAAGGACTGGGGAGATGGGCATCAGGGAGGGCCAGGAAGGAGGAGGTGGGGGGACCTCAGGGAGAGCAGGAGTGGTGGTGCAGAGGATGGGGCCCAGGGAGGGGAGTGGGATGAAGTGTCTAAGGTCAGGTCTCAGGGGCAGGAGGGCTGGTGGGGTGGGCTGAGGTGGTTAGGGAGTCAGGGTGAAGAGAGGGCAGCAGGTGGGCTAAGACACGCTGGGGTGGGTGGGATAGTGTGAGCTGGGCTGAGGCCCAGTGAATGGATGGGGGGAGCTGGTCACACGGGGTGAGGCAAGGGCACAGAGGAGGAGGTGGGCAGGATGTGTTACATGGACCGGGGGAGGGAGGGTATAGGTTTCCTTGTTTTATGGCCTGTGAAAACCGCCTGAGCTCTGTGGACTGTAGGAAACAGGAACACACTCCCAGCAAGGCTGGGGGACACTCAGGCCGGCGTGGGCCCCCGAGAGCTCCCCCACTTACGGCCTCCTCGGCCTGCCTCTTGTACGCCTTCACTTTGGCCTGCAGCTTGTCCACCAGGTCCTGGAGCCTCAGAATGTTCTTGCGGTCCTCCTCGGCCTGCGAACAGAGCGTCCTTCCAGGCCCCACCACAACTGTCTCCCATCCGAGCATTCACCCAGGTTCCAGCCTCTAACCTGGTAAGTCATCTCCTTGACTTTTCGCTCGTATTTGTGTGTCCCCTTCAGAGCTTCGGCTCCCCTCTTCTGCTCAGCATCCAGCTCGTTTTCCAGCTCCCTCACCTGGGAAAGAGAACGCGGATTCAGGCCAGACCGCCAGGCTCTCTCACGGACCCGGTGCCTGTCCTGCAGGGTGATCTCAGGGTCTCCTTGGAGGATAAGAAGCCACGTGTATTCGCGAGGCCACCACTCCTGCACGCGGCGGGCTTTGTGCAAATGAGAAAGAGGCACCTTCTGTGGGCAGGGGCAGCCTCAGGTGCACACAGCTCAGCTGCCGGGTCCGGCTTTGCAAAGGAAGCCGCTTCCTCTGGCCCCACGCAGCCTGGCGAGAGCTGAGCGGGAGGCTGCATGGCTGCTCCAGGTGGCCCAGCTCCTGACCCAGTGAGGCAGCAGGGTCCTAGAGAGAACCGGAGCCAGGAGCAGTCCAGGGGCTCAAGCCTGGGTCCGCTGAGTGAGCCAAAGCAAGGCAGCCCCGCACTGGGAATGAGGTTTTGTGTATTTGGGGTGGAGATGGTCATTCCTGCCCGGGCTACCTCCAGTGTGGAGATCAGATTACACAAAAGGCGTGGAAATACTTTTTAGAGGATATGGCGCTACACGGGTGGTGTTAATTTCATAGCTGTGCCCTCCTTTCCTGAAGTCTTGACGGCAGAGGACAGTCGTCCAGAACTCAGGTCACCAACTGTGGCCCCAACTCCATGATCAGAGAGAGCCCAGAATTGGGTTGTGGGGTGGCGGCCAGCCATTGGGGATCCCGCTGCCACACACAGGGGCGGCTCTGGGCTTGCAGACTCCCCAGGTCAGCTTTGTAATCTACCAGTGGAAAAGGCCATCTCTGGCCACCGCTCCAAACAGGATCCCACCCCCTCCCATACCCTGTGGGTCCTGGGAGCTGTCTTCCTTCAGGTTCTACAAAACTTTCTTTCCCTGGGGGCGAGCCCTCCAGGCCTCTGTAAGGTTTATGAAACCAAGGTAACTGGGCAGCTGGCAATGGGAGGATTTTGGAGGTTCCTCATCCTGCAGGGGTGAGGGAGGGCGGGGGTGGGGGCTGGCTAAGGGACCCCTGCCAACTCAGGAATCACAGAATCAGAAGGTGGCACGGGATTGAGTTCCTCCCTTGAGGGAGGAGCCACGAGAAGGGTAGGTTTGAGCTCGTGTTAATAGAATAGGACTGGAAATAATTAAAAACAACACGGAAAGATGTTTTTTGGAAGCCCCAGCTTCCCGGTGTTGACTTTCGCTTCTCATGCTGTGTTGTTTCCAGCCAAAAATCCCTTTCACATTTCAAGTGCGCCCGTGCTGGGACCACCTCCGGGGGAGGCTGGCCGGGAGAATGACTGTATTTGGGTCTCTCCTGCTGGGATAAGTGGTCTCCTTCTCTCGGTCGCCTCCTCCTCCTCTTCCCCTCCCACTCTCTCATTTCCTTTCTCCTGGGGACAAGAGGCATCTGACAACCTCCTCCTCACGGTCCTTCTTCAAAATATTAACTGGTAGTGGAGCCCATTTTAAAAACACATTAAATAAACCATCACAGGCCTAAAGGGAAGCAAGCAACAAAGGGGCCTATCAGCAAAGAAACTAAACAACCACAAAGTATACTCCCAGACGGCAGAGCGCAGGGCTGCCCTGTGTGGGCACTGATGCAGTGCGCTGGCCCAGGAGGCGCCAACCGCCCTCCCCAGGATGCCCCTGATGCCATTGGAGATGGGGAAGTCAGGGGAGGGAGTGGGATCCAGGAGTGGGAGAGGGAGGGAGACTCCAGGTTTTACACAGGATGGGCCACTATTTATCAGAGTGGAAGTTGGTCCAAAATTTAAATCTCACTAAAACATGTACTTTTAAAATTGTAAGTTGTATCTCCCCCACATTTGTGTGGGTCTGAAACACTATAAAACCAGAATGTGAACATTTACAAATGTCACCGCCCTGCAGTTATTGAGGCAGAAGCATTCCGCAGTGGATTTGCCTGAGTTGGGGTGCAGGGATCGGCGGAGAGGAAACCGGTGGGTTGTTCGGCTCACTGGGAGTTTTGCAAGAGGTCCTCGAGCTACGGCTGCAGTCTGCTCAGCCAGGGGCCTCCCTCCCACCACCCACGTTTCCAGACGGGGGTTCTGCCCGGGAGCTGAGCGTCACTCTGGGGGGAGTCCCCTCGGGCCAGCTACCCGGTTCTCCAGCTTCTGGATCTGCTTCTTCCCGCCCTTCAGGGCCATCTGCTCAGCCTCATCCAGACGGTGCTGCAGGTCCTTCACCGTCTGCTCCAGGTTCTTCTTCATCCGCTCCAGGTGGGCGCTGGTGTCCTGCTCCTTCTTCAGCTCCTCGGCCATCATGGCCGCCTGGGTAAGTTCACAGAAAACATCCGTGGGCCATCCGTCCAGCCCATCCCTGCCCGGAGCACCGCAAGATGCCAAGGTTGGTGCTGTGTGTGCTGATGCGTGCCTCCCTCCCTCAGCCGCCACGGAGTGTGCAGTGCGCTCCCCTCCCCCACTTTGCTAGGCCATCTCTTCAGGGAGCCACCCCTGATGGACTTAGGTCTTAAGGAGATGGAACCTGCGTGCCACACCCAGGCTTAGAAGCCCCTTCCCTCTCTCCCAAGGGCATCTCTGAAGAGAAAGAAGGGCGCTCACGTCCGTGATGGCTTTCTTGGCCTTCTCCTCTGCGTTTCTGGATTCCTGGATAGAGTTCTCCACCTCTGCCTGGCACTGGGCTATGTCAGCTTCCAGTTTCTTCTTGATGTTTATCAGGCTTGTGTTCTACAAGGAAAATCAGATACCAGAAGGGTAGGTTATGCTTGGACACGTCAAACAGTTGGGAGGGAGAGGGCTCGGTAGGGAAGGGCGTAAACCATGGTCAGGTTCTGTTCCTCATTGTCACAGGGGGTGTGCGAGACACTGTTTTGGTCTTGACCAAACAGAAAGTCCCAGGGCAGACCCAAGACTTGCACATGAAATAATTGAATAAATGATAAAAATGGACTTTCAAATATTTCGGGAAGAAGAGATTATTAAAAAAGATGTTAGAAGAAGGAAATGATTTGTTGACATAGTGACATAAAATGAAAAATAGTTCTAATGATCAAAATATACCATAAATGGAATTGCAAAAGTGAGGCCCAACTGGAATACATTTGCAATGATTATTACTGAAAAATATTCCCTGTCTTAACGTAAAACAAATCGATAAGCAAAAAGGGAAAGAAGCACAAATAGGTAAGACACAACAGAAGAAATCCAAGTGGCAAAAAATATGTGAAATGTTCTGCCTCAGTAATCAAAGAAACAAGAATTTTTAAAAAAGAAATATTTTCAACAATAAAATTGGTCAAGTTTAAAAAATAATAGCTAAGGTCTTTGAGAATTTATAGGAAGGAGCTCCCAATGGGTAATAAAAATTGAGACTTAATTAAAGATCAGTTTACAGTATATTACAAATGTCTTTACTGTTTGGATCATGAAGTTTTACTTCTAGAAATTTATTTACTTCTAGGAATATTAGGAAAATAATAATAATAATGGATATATGTGAAAACTTAGTTATAAAGAAGTTCATCATAGCAGTCTTTCTAATAGTAAGTTTTTTTGGGGGGAATAATATAAAACATCTAATCATAGAGAATTAGTTAGATAAAAATGCCATAATACACAACTAAAATGGACTACCTTTCTGCCGTTAAAAACAGTCATAGAAAACTCTCTAAAGATGTAGACACATGTTCATGACACATTGCTAAATGAAAATAAGTTGCAAAAAGTTTGATCCCATTTTTACAAAAAATATAATATTTATGGACATAAACAGGGCTTAGCATGAAAAGTCTTAAAATGTTAACATTATGGTTAGCATTTTTCTTCTGTTCCTTTGCTTGTATTCTCTATTTGTTTATAAAAAGGAATTTTTAAAAACGTTTCATAAAAATTGCAAAAATAAGTATTTTGAACGACAATCCTGACTTTCTAAGCATATGGCTTCTACCATGAGGCCTTCTCCAGCCCCTTCATGCAGTCATCCACCCTTCCTTGCTCTGACTTCCCACAACACACATGACCGTCTATGTTCAGAGGAGGAAAGGGCCCCGTGGAGGGAGCCCGGCTGCACCTGGGAGTGCAGCAGCTGCACTCGGTCACTGGCGTCCAGCAGCTCCTGCTCGGACAGCCTGCGGGTCCGCTCGGTCTGCTCCAGGGCCGCCTTCATCTCCTCCAGCTCCTCCAGCAGCAGGCCGCTCCTGCGCTCCGTGATGGCCAGCTGCTCCTTGAGGTCCTCGTTGCTCCTCAGGGCATCATCCAGCTGCAGCTGGGAGTCCTGCAGGGGGAAGCAGGGGTGAAGCCGGAGCCCAGAGGCTGAGGGCCCAGCCGCGCCCCCCCCTCCCCCAAAGGCCCCACAGTCACCTTGAGCTGGCCCTGGACTGTGCGCAGGTGCTTCTGGGTCTCCGCCAGCTGGCGGTTGGAGTGTCCCAGCTGGATCTCCATCTCATTGAGGTCTCCCTCCATCTTCTTCTTCAGCCGTAGGGCGTCATTCCGGCTCTGGATCTCCGCATCCAGCATGGTCTGCATGGCCTCTGCTGCCCGCTGGCTGTTTCTCTTTAGCTGCTCGATTTCTTCATCCTTCTCCGTGACCTTGCGGTCAAGCTCGGATCTTACCTGGCTCAGCTCTAGCTGAACACGCAAAATCTTGCTCTCTTCGTGTTCCAAGGAGCCCTGATAAAGACACAGGAGCGATTGGAAGTGCTGTGGGCACTTGAATGTGTATTTTCCACTGTTATGATCAAACTAGAGGCCCAGTGCATGAAAGTTATGCACGGGTAGGGTCCCCAGGCCTGGCCAGCGATCAGGGCCAATCGAGGCCTTCTGGCTGCCAACCAGGGCCTTCCTTTGTTCTGCACCGCCCCCTGGTGGTCAGTGCATGTCATAGCTAGCAGTCGAACTCAGGTAGGTTGTACTCCCAAGGGGACAATTTGCATATTAGCCCTTTATTATATAGGATGAGTATGATAATAACACCCATTTTATAGGTGAGTAGAACAACACTCAAGAAGCTCAAATGACTTGCTCCTGAATGTCCCTTTTAGTAATGAAAATGCAACTAAAACTTTGTTATTAACAACCAGGTCTTGAGGGGGACAGCGCATCCCTTTGAATTAGTGAGCATTTTATTGAGTGTGTCTGTTTAATAAGGCTATAAGTCGGGAGCCAACCTATTCTCTAAAATGTCAGGGCAATTGCTATCCCTTTACTCTGTGAAACTTTACAAATTTACGCAAATTTCCCTAGAAACTTCCCGAGCGCCACCCTGCACTGGCTGTAGCTGAGTATGAGCTCAGCCTGCGGCACTGTTGACAGTGCAGGACTCCCAGTAGCCAGAGGTGATCGTGTGCAACGGTTAAAAACGAGGGCTTCAGAGCCGGCTCTCGGATGTTTGGTTGCTGGGGTCCAACCCCAGCAGGTCCAGGGGTCCCCAAAGGTGTGGATGGAGTCGGCGAAGAAGGAATGACACGGAGACAGCGTTCAGTTGATCAGCAGCTTTGCCAGGATCTCTAGCCAGGATCTCCAGCCAAGTTCTGGTCTGGATCTCCAGCGAAGTTCTGGTGTTTATTGTCTAGTTACATCCGTATTTATACCAGTTGATTTTAATCCTGTCAATTACTATTACAAAGGTTAGGGCATTTCTTATCTCCATTCCAGGGAGTAAAGATTATGTAGCTTAAGCATGATTGGTGTAGTTAAAGT